TCTTGAAAATTGGATAGTTCTTATAAAGTTTTTTTTTAAAATTCATATTCATCGAATGTAAAAATCAAAAGTCAATTAATAAAATATTATCTGATTTACATAAAACTTTTAGAATATGTGTAATTTTATCTCCTAAACAACTTTTACTTAATATACATAATTGATTTACTTAGTAAAATTTTTTGCAATTAGCAAAAATACTTTTATCAGAAAATAAGCTATCCGTAAAATTTTTGTATAACTTTTTGGCCAAAAATAGTAGCTTATTTTCAGACATATATGGTTTATATATCAGTATAACTTTAAATTGCAAAAAATTTTAAATATTATAAAAAAAAATGATAAAAATTATGATACCTGGGCTTTTTCCATATTATACGCATATACTTATATTATTTTAAAATAATTGTTTTAATTTTTATTATTATTATTATTATTATTATATAAAAAAAATGAATATTAGAAATAGTAGCAGCCTGAGAAAATAAGTAACAAAAAAAAAAAAATTACGGTATCTGATCTTTTCTATATAATATATACGCACGTATTTACATATATATATATGCTATTTAAAACTTAGATTTTTTTTTGGTTCAAATATTTTTTACTATATATTTAAAATAAGTATCATTGAGGAAGTAGTCAGAAAATAGTCTAGAGAAATAATAAAAAAGAAATAAAAATTATGATACAAATCTTGGCCCTTTTATATATAACCTTTATACAAACAGAGATATTTTATATAAATTCTGCTAATTATTTTTTGGTAAAAGAAAAGCTTTTGTAAAAACACCACTTAAACTTTTTACTATTCAAGTTTTAAGATATAAAAAGGCAAAGAAATTCATATTCAGTTGAAGAAAAGCAGAAGGTTGTCAAGTTGGCTTGTCGTATTTCAAATATATATGCTGCTAACCATTATTTTTTAGATCTGACAATGCTTGATTGGTGGATTAAATAATTTTCACAAGACATCACTTCCAAAAAAAGTTTATGAAGTGTTGGTTCTAGACATTACACTTTTTTTCTCGAAGAAGAAGCCTAGCTTTATGAATGGGTAATAACAGTTCGACAAAATGGTCTTGCTATTATATATTCTAACCTAAGAATAAAAATAGTCAAAATAATAAGTAAAAATTCTAAGCAAACTAAAGATAAAGTCAAAAAATTTGCAATTACCAACTTTAAATTCTTATCATAATGGTTCAACCATTTTTTAAATTATTATAATCTTGCTCTTTGACGTAAAACTAAAATCATACAGAAGTTACTAAGAGACCTTGAAGACTAGCTTTTTAATTTTTAGCAGTTTGTAATCTGCCTTTGTCAAAAAAATAAATATCCTCTTGGTATGATAGCAAATATGGACGAAACATTTATTTAGTTTGATATAACAGGAAGTTTGACTTTAGATAAAAAGATACTAAAACAGTCTATATCTAAACAAGCAATAATAAAAATCAATTTACTATTGTCTTGATATGTTTTGCTAATGGAACTAAGCTTCTCTGATTATTATTTTTAAGGAAAAGGTTTGGCTCGTTAATACATACTTCTACCTCTGGCTAGTATAGTTGTTTGGTTTTAAAACAAGGGTTGGATAGACAAACCAGGAATGCAAAAGTGGATAATGTATTAAAACAAAGAATAATCAGGATCTTGTAATTTGAAAACAATGCTTGTCTTAGATTCTTTTTCTGTATATATTATAGATCAGGTTAAAGCTATATTTTATTCTACAAATACTAATTTGGCTATAATTTCTAAGATCTAACTAATATATGCTAGCTTCTTTACATTTGTATTAACAAGCCTTTTAAGAATAGACTTTGCAAATATTAGTATAAATAGATAACTAATGGTGGTAATGGTGTTACTAAAGGTAGAAGTGCCAAATGATTTAAAACAGAATATTTTAAATTATTTTTATATTATACAAAATAATTTTTTATATATTTTAAAACATCATCACTAATATTAATATCATGACTGATATAGTTACAATTATGATTATAGATTAAAAAGCATAAAAATTATTAAAAAACTTTTTTTTTTCATTATTTCTAATATAAAGGTAAAAACTTGAAATATGCTGATTTGAGTACAGTTTGTTATTGGGTTTTAAATATCTGGAATGACATTTCTAATAATATTATTGTACAAGCATTTAAAAAATGCAATATCTCAAATTGTCTGTTAGGAAGTAAAGATCATTTAATTTATAATAATAATGAAGATAATAAAAATTCTGATGAAAAACAATCTGATAAAGATATTGCAGAATCTGATAAAGATAAAGAATTCGATGAAGATAAAGAATTCAATAAAGATGAGGAATTCAATGAAGAAAATGAGCCTGAAGAAAGTGAATCTGATAGTGATAAAGATAGGAATACAGGCAAATATAAGAAGTGGCTAGAATGCTATGTCATTATTACTAGATAAAATAAAGATTCAAATTGTTATTTATTTTATTTTATTATTTTTTAAAAAAGACTAAATATAACATAAAAGTAGGTTTTAAATGTGGTTAATTATTTAACAATTAGATTTTATTGTAGTTATCAAAATGATGTTACGTTTGTAAATTACTAGACTTTTAACAATATATTTATTTCATTTATCAGTACAAAATCTAAAGGTCTCATTAAAGAATTTGAGCTTAGATTAAAGTTAAAATAGTAGTAGAGTTTTGAAATGCTGTATTTTATTTAGTATATTAAAAAAAAATCTATTTTAAAACATAGCATAGCAAGTAAATTTTATTATTGGTTTTAAACTCGTCCAAATTATCAAATTATAACTACTTTTTCTGTAGTAAAATTTTGTGATAATTTTAAAATTATACAGCAAGTCTCACCATTAATATTAAAAAAAAAATTATACAGCAAATTCAAAAATTACACCTAATTTTTTCTTTCAAAATATATTTCATGACTTTCTGGCTAACCTGCTTGTAGGGTTAAAAAATTACTGTAATATTATGTAATTTTACATAGATTTGTGTAAGTTTCTAAAATCAAATTCGATTATGTGAATAATTTGAGTCAAAATTTTTGTAAAACCAACATTAAAATAAATATAAAATTAATAATAGATATCTATTAATGCTAGCAAACCTTTTGTAACACTAGTACAATTATCATATGACAATACGCTATACTGTAAGTTACAAAGTAATTTTATATAATAAAAAATAGAATTTTGTGGAGTATAACCCTACCTACTTATAATTTATATTAATTCACTGTCTACTTTTCCAGATCCCTGATATCAATATGACTTAAATATTTATCAAGTATCTCTTAATAAAAATTGTACTACTGTACTATATTTCACTCCAAATTATGTAAATTCTATAAAATATATGAATTATGCAATTGCATATGCTACATATATGATAAATCTTTGTACTAGCCCAAATAAATAACAATGATAAATAAATAATTTATAAATATGTAACAGGTAAATTAATATTTAATAATGATAAATAAATAAATATACAAATATATATTTTATTAGTTTATTGAATTTGAATATAGAGAGATAGCTTATTTTCAGAACTAAAAATTTTATTAATTATCTTTTGGTGTAACAAAGGGGTAGCTTATTTATGAACTTAAATTATTTTTAGGATTTTTAATCAAAACAAGAGAGGTAGCTTATTTTTGGAGGTGGCTTATTTTTGGCAATATACAGTATAATTTATAATACTTTGTATAACAGTAAATTTGCAAATCCTTATATTCTTTTCTTTGAACCAGAAGAACCTTCTTTACAACTTTACTTAAAGCTAAAAAAAACTTTTACTTAGTAAAACCTTCTTTAATTTTTAAAAGATTATTTTAACCAATCATATTATTGCACAGAGGTGTGTCAGTTATTTGACTTAAAGAACATAGTAAAGAATCGTTCAACTTTAAAGGAAGATTAACTACAAACTACTAGAGATTAAAAACTTTGGTTTGAAACCAAAGATCATTAAATGCTAAAGAATATATATTTAAAATTTAAAGAAAGATTTATATGTATATTTTTACAAAAATTAAATTTAAATGATTTTTTTGCATAAATTTACATATAAAATTAGGGTGAGTCAACTTATTTGATTTATAAGTAACAGCAACTATATAGACATGTTCTGTGACTGCTAAGTTAACCCTAACTCTAAATCTAAATTTATTTAATTTTTAACAACATTATAATACCGGGTGATGTCACCACGGGTGAAAATTAGTTATTCTCTTAATTGGATTTTATACTTTTAAAAAATTATTTGGTTTCTCACGATTGCAACCATTTACTAAATATTATTATTAACATCTCATAACTTGACAATATCACATAACTTTCAAAACTTTTTTGGGTTGCGATTTTACTCTACGTATTAAATCACATACCGATATACAAACATTACCAATTATATTTCCGATACATGGTACTAGATAAGAAAGAACATTAGCTAGTTTTTTTTTTAATATCAAGCCCATAGTAAATCATTATAATTAGTTAAGGTTTTTGCCCTGTAGCGCTCATTATTTTTTTAAACATTATACAACTTTTATATAACAAAACTTTCTATAATACTGTTGCTACATGCAATGCCCATAGATATATATTAAAATAATAGATTGTGTTAAATTTTTTACATTTAATATATTTTTCTTTTAAAAGATTGACGAACAAGATTTAGACAAATAGCATTATAATGGCTGTAATATAAATTCTTAGCATATGTTTGTTTCAATTCACACGAATTTAGTTTACGTATATACCCCCATTAAATTACAACTATACAATTATATAAATGATTGTTAAGATAATTACAAGTTATTATTATAAAACTAAAAGATATTTCAATTCTTACTAGTTATCATTCGCCATTCAGATAGTATATTGATCAACATTAATTTCTTTTCTAAAAACTCAAAACATTAATTTCCTTTCTAAACACTCAAAACATTAATTTCTTTTCTAAACACCAAAACATATATTGAGAATTAGTGAGAAATATATTGAAACACGTATGAAACAACGCCTTGATTTGCCTCAGCCTTTAGGATATTATCATGGATCTTATTCATATCATTTCCACCAGTAAAGTGATCCCACCTATGAATAGGGTGTTTAGTTTATAATGTAAGTTTAAGGAAAACAATAATGCGCGAAAAATACATACGAGCTTGTATCACTATAATTCATTGTTTCTCCTTGTGGTCGAGATATCCGTTGAATACCTTTTACGCATCTAAGACACTTGAAAGTATCATGTGTATCACACATAGTATCCGGATTGAAAAGGAAAAGACGTTTTAAGGACTCAAATGTATAGTGTCTTTCAACGTCAGCATCTTCATCCACAACACATGAAGAAAGAGATTGTTTATGCGATTGACGTTGAAAGATTTTCTCTTCAATAGATCCCGTCGAAATAAATCGATATATGAAACCTTTATAGATTCAAATATGTGATTAGATAAAAGACATATTATTATCCCACTTGCTACGTACAATTTTTCTTTTGACCATCTCTCCAGACTCTAGCCAACGCCTATTAAAAATGTAATTAGTTATTGCGATATGTTTAAACTAAGATTACCACAACATATTTACTTGCTGATCTGATGCAGGATTCCAATCTATCAATATAGAATGGTAAATATATTTGAAAAAAATGAACTAAAATACTAACAATATAATGAAAACACAAACATAATTAATATACCTGGATCAAACAAAACAAGCCGATTTGCGCCGATAAGGTTCAATCCACATCCACCGGCTTTACTACTTAGTAGAAAAACAAATTCTGAACTGTGTGGGTCGTTGAACCTAGTTACAAGGGTCTGACGCTTTTTTATTGGCATCGTACCGTCAAGACGCAAGCAGCCATATCTTATAAAGTTAAAATACTATCATTTTAAAAATATGTTCATAAATTAAAGCAATAATAAAACAAATATACATTACTTTCTAGTTCTGCACAATCGTTCAAACACGTCTAAAGTTTGCGTATAGTTCGAAATCAGGACAATTTTGTCCTTTGTCTCATTTTTAATCTTTGCTAACATTCTATAGCCATTAAAAGTGGCAAATATTGAATAAGCAAAGAAAGAATTATGAGAAAGAATTAGGAGATAAATTATGAGATAAATTTGTATGTATAATTACCTATCCAAAACAAGCATTTTTCCTGAAAACTCTGGTTTGACCGTTCTTGATTTGTCTTTTATTGAATACCCTGGAGGAAAGCATTTTTGGGACCCTCTAAGTTCTTTAGTGAGATCAAGCAAGTCCGGATGGTTGCATAATTTCTTAAGCATAGTAATTGCTATTGGAGTATTCATGGTTAGAGGAATGTTATAAATTTAATATCTTACATAAATTTTCAAGCACATATCAAACTATCGAGTCCGGATACCCTTGAGTGGTTGAGACGATGCGCCACGAAGAAGACTTTGAATTTCTGGGGAAGTAAGGAACAAATTGTATAATGACACTTGAAATTCGCTCAAACGACAAAATACAACGTGCTCGTATTTCACGGGCACTACAAAAATTATTATTAACACTGGTTTGAAATTATTGAGATTTCAAAAAATATGTGCCGACAATCGACTTACAATATTTTGACAAAAGATCGTTATTTCTCCTAATTATAAACTTGCTTACAACTTCCAATAATTCAGACAGCTTTTGGTCACTAGTTTCTCTCTCCTTTTCAGAAGCATCAGCGTCACGCCCGCGTAAAATAGGATTTTCATAATTTCTACGAAATTCACTAGGTGTTCCAAGAAGATTAGGGTTGGCAAAATTCAACAAGGAAAAATATTCTGAAAGATCATTCTGAAATATTTAAACATGATTAATATCATTTATACACAACATAAATATATGAAATAACAATCTTAACCTGAATTGGCGTGCCAGACAAAATAACTCTTCGTTGAACTTGAAGCGAATTTAAAGCTTGGAATAACTGGGAATCTAAATTGAGAATAATTAAATGAATGAATAATAATGAACATAATAA